AACCTAACCAGAATAAGTTATTAAAGGATAAGACATTTTTAAATTGTATTATTGGTGTCAAACATGGTGGTCTGAATTTGATGGTTTCTGTTTCAGCAATAGATTAATTGGACAGTTGCATATAATAATTTGGTAACTTTGTAAAGGAAAAGCGGCAGTCTTGAGTTGCTAAAATGATTTTATGCTTTTCTGTAGCATCTGACCTGGATTAATAAAAATTAACACTTGTAAGTTGCTGCTAAAGCCTAACTCCCTGATTTTGATATTTTAAATAGTGCCCAGTAATGCATACAGTTTAGATGAATAACACTTTATTTCTCTGAAGACCATATTTAGAGTGTATTTCCCTGCATGTTGATACTACCTTGTAATACTGAAATACCTAAAGAATGACATTGTTTATATGGGGTTAATAAAAAGCTTAGATTAAGTAACATGTTAAGACAGAGATCAATTATATAAAAAAGCTGCTACCATTTCACATACACTAAAATTGAATTAAGTCTTTATTATGGCTCACGGTTGAGAAAACCACCTGCCACATGGGCCGATTTGTAGAAGAGCTTGGTTACACCCGAGTTCACAACATAGCAGTTAGCGCCAAAACGCGTGTTCCCTGACCGGGAATCGAACCCGGGCCGCGGCGGTGAGAGCGCCGAATCCTAACCACTAGACCACCAGGGACAACTGCGCTATTTCATACCCATATGGAGCATTTCAGAAGCATTTTGCCTGCTTGAGTTTGTTGACTTGCACTGATTTTCGGTCCTTTTCCCATGATTTTTGAGCATCTACCACGTGCACGCTGCAGCCTGAGAACCACACAACGATCAGTATTTAATTAGGCTATAATCAAAACTCGTGTTTAGTCTGATTTTCGGGACAAAACAAGACAGGAGTCGGGACAACTGTTCGGGAATTCAGCCCTGAATTTTACTGGATTTAAAAAGGACAGACAAAATCACAATTTACACAGCGTTATTTTATTTCCTACCACAGACACATCATTTGATGGACACTGCCTCGAGTCCATCACCTTCTCTGCCTCTGATTGACTAATCGTAAGAGAAGTAGCTGCAGTTCAGGACCGCAATTCTAGGACCGGTGTCCTGACAATATATGCTGCACAAATCGATAGCAGAGTCTATCAGAATCAGAAATACTTTATAGTATAAATAAAAATATAAAGCCAAATATATCTTAGCGACAAACTAATAAAAGACATGGACAAAATGCCATTCAATTTTATAAGGAAGAATAAAACACATTACTTGAAGAAAAATGTTCTCATGAACTCCTATGAAAACGGTGGGGTTAACTTTCTGGATATTTACACCTTAAATAATAGCTTAAAAATAAATTGGCTGAAACAGTTATGTAGAAATCCTACCTCCTTTGGAATGTTATACTACTACTACTATATATTCATGTATTATCAAAGCTGGGTGGCTTAAGCTTGTTTCTAGTTTGTAATTATGATATTGATAAGGTACCTGTTAAAATGTCTGCCTGTCATCGTCAGGCTTTTTTTTCTCACTCTTAAAGTTGGAGGGCTGCAACCTGTCATATTTGTTATAATTTATCTCCCCCAAAACCGCCTGGAGGATTTTTATCAGAACTTCCTGAATTTTTATCTACTCTGGTTTTAAATTATGACAGAATTGTTCTTTGTGGTGATTTTAATATTCATGTTGATGACCCCACCAATGTTAATGCAACTGACTTTTTAAATATGGCCACTTCTTTTAACTTCAAACTTCATGTCAAAGGGCAAACACATAACCGTGGTCATACACTGGACTTGGTTTTTACCCTGGGTGTCAGCATTTCCTCTGTGGAATTAGTGGACATGACCATATCTGACCACAGATGTATTGTTTTTAGCTGCGATTCGCCTGTTACTCATGCTGCCTCACCAAACTCCGTGTGTTGTCGCATCTTTAATGAACAAAGTGTTTCAAAGTTTTGCACATTCTTTCAGAGCCAAAGCCAACACCTGTCTGATTCCAACACCAACAATCTGGTCGATCACTTCAATCTTATCTGCTTGTCGTCACTAAATATTACTGCTCCTCTAAAGGTTAGGCCTACGTCTAAAGCTAGTAAGCAACCCTGGATAAATGACAGCATTCGCAGCCTAAAAAGGGAATGCAGGAAAGCAGAGCGCAGATGGAAAAAATCCAGTCTCCAAGTCCATTACCTCAGTCTGAAGGATTTATTAATTAACTACAATAACATGGTTAAGGATGCGAGAACACACTATTTTTCTGAACTCATTACTACACATAAACACAATCCCAGGTTTCTGTTTAAGACTGTGGATCAGCTGGTAAACCCAACCCCTCCTTGTGCCTCAGCTGGAAGTAATGATGACTGTGAATTGTTTTTATCTTATTTTACCAATAAGGTGGTGTCAATCAGAGCCTCTATTACCCCCGTGGCCTCTTACTCAGAAGTTCCTCACCAGCAACAAGAGAGTTTTAACCAGTTTTATCCCATCGACTTGTCTGAGCTTTTAAAAACAGTATCACAAATGAGAGTGTCCTCCAGCCCACTTGATGTAATACCTACAAAGTTGTTACTGAAAGTAATGGATTCTGTTGGGCCCCATTTGATCTCTGTTTTCAACAGCTCCCTATCTACTGGTTGTGTCCCTGATTATTAAAAAATATAACCTCAAATTCAAAGTAAAAATCTACTATATCGCTCCATTTCGGCTACCCCGAGATATCGCGAGAACTTAGCGTAGCACATAGAAGACGTGTATGTAAGTTGTCGTGGCCGAGTGGTTAAGGCGATGGACTAGAAATCCATTGGGGTCTCCCCGCGCAGGTTCGAATCCTGCCGACAACGTACATGTTTTGTCTTTAACACATCTCTACGATTGTTGTTACACCATCACTCCCCGACAGTGTGGAATACAAATCCCAGCTACTATATAGCCAACACAGGTAGGAGTAGGTAGATGGTTATAATATTTATTGTTAAGAGAGAGTTAAACAATTATTTATGGCATCTGAATGTTTGTAACTAGTTTTCCAGTTGTTTCCAGTGGTGGAAAGTACTGTATTGAGGTACTTTTACCTTTACCAGTAGCCTATATCCAATAAATACTACTTCCAATGTTGCAAAGGGAAATATTGTACTTTTTACTTTACTACATTTATTTATTTGGTTTTATTCAATCAAATTCATTTCAATTCATTGGGGCTTTACTGGCATGGGAAACAGAGTTTACAAGGCCAAATCAAACGTGAAATAAAAATAATATTATTTTGATTTCACATACAAAACGCATGATCACTTTATGTGATGTCGTTATTGTTACAGATTAAAAGTTCCACATACGCTCACATGTGTTTTCAGTTATGTTGTTGATCCAGCCTGCTCGTCTCAGGTTGGAGTTGACAGGGCTTTTATTAGTAAAATATTTTTTTTACACTGTGGTTATTGTTACTTCTACTAAAGTAAAGGATCTGAGCACGTCTTCCACCACTGTATGTACACTGCCTGTCTCTTCTATCAACAAAACACGTTCTTCTGTACCTTTTGTTTCTTTGTTTTTTTTTTGTTCTTCTGTACCTGCTGTCTTGCATTTACCTCTGAGATGATGACACTGCTGTAATTCATACATCTAACCACAAGAGGGTGTACGGTACTTAGTTCCAAGTGTCACGTTTTATTAGTCACATGAGGCCTGTTTCTACATTGTGCAGTGAAATACTTTGTTCCCACACTGTGCCTGATACATTGTTTACGTTGGGAACATTGTGCCTGTGGTTAGTAAACTACGAGGAAGTCATTTAGTGTCGTGTGACACTATGAAACTCATAAATCTGGTGAATCCTTTTTTAGGCTATTTATCAGTTTTGATAAATATTATAGGCCAATTGTAAAAAAGAACAGAAAAACCCCCGAAAAATAACAATATAAAATAAATAGTAAATACATTATAAATGCAGCAAAGCAACCTAAACTCCACTATGTGACTCATCTGTATTTCTTTTGATTGAGCAAACAATGAAAACAATGTAAACTACGTGTTTGGTTGTTGTAACTGTGTGCTTCTTGGCAATAAATCATATATGTAAAGCCTGTTTGTGTCCCTTTTAAATGACGTGACATTTGTAGGAACATGAATTTGTGGGATGAACAGCAGAGTTGAGTATGAGGGTTATGCCCATGAAAAATATGCCAAATAGACTCTTGTTTGGTGTTGTTTGGTGGATTGAATAATTGAAGTCTGAAGAAACAAGACATATTGGCAATTTAAGATTTTATTAATTTAATAAACAGGAGCATCAGTAGCATGTAGAAGAAGCATACACAACCACAACAGCCTAAGAATAATTATTAGAATAATTCTACTAAAATAAATTGTGGGAAATTTCCCTACTTTTTGTGCATAATTTATATATTTTTATATAATATATATATTTTTATATTTTATTTTAATATACATTTAATTACATGTTAAGTTTGTGTGTGTGTGTAGCTTGAAGGGACTCGTTATACAACCTTGTGTTGTATAATGACAAATAAACAACCTTATACCTTGTATCTGTCTTTAATTTTTTTTCTTTATTTTGTAAATTTACGCCTGGATGTTTTGTGTTTATAATGTCAATATATATCTGTTATCAAAAATAAAATATATATTTTTTAAATGATGCCCCATTTCCCTGAACCCATATATGGAAATTAGGCGAAAGTTCATCTGAGAAGTTGAAGAGTGACTATGCTGTATTGTTGATTTATTTTTATTTTTTTGAAACAACAGTAATAAAATCAAGCACGTATGTCCAGATAGATTTTTGTTTTTTGGGGGGGGGGTATATTTATTTTAGCCAAGTAAAGAAAACGTGATAAATATAAATTAATCTGGCCAGAATCTGGAGGAACATGTATAAGTGAAGTACGTGATGACGCTGTTCGCTCCGCCCCCTACCCTGACTCATGCCTACGTCATCTTCCATCTGGTTTAAAACCACGAGCCGGCCGTTGATCTGGCCAAAAGCAGCGGCGTCGACCTTGGTTCGGATATTGGAGGGTTACATTTACCCAAAACTTATTTTCAAATGGGCCCCGTCGCCTAGCGTTTACTCCCCCCCAGCCTCGCCAACTGAGTTGAATTGCTACTGAACATCAAGCACGTCAGGGCCACTAAAAGGTGAGGGGGTCTCTCTGGTTATAAAATGGTGGTCAACGCCGAGGAGGGAGGAGAGCTGGCGATGCTAGCTGGCTAGCTTGCCATAATGGCAGCTGTTGCAGAGCTGTATGGGTTTCTTTGTTTTTGGTTGAAACAAACAGAAGAAGAAACGTTTTGTGTGCCGTCTTTTCTCGTTTTACTCTGGGTTTCATTCATAGAATAGCGAGGACCGTGTTAGCTGTGGCGTCGACTCAAAATAAAAACCGTTACTGTGTTAACAGATGGTTAAGATTTTGTTTTTGTCCATGTTTGAGACAAAATGTCCTAGTTAACAAGAGAAAGGGTCCTGCCTTATGATTTGACCTATATCCCCTTCAAGACGCGCGTTATTTATTATTCATCGTCTCCTGAAATAATGCGTTTATTCTTCAATTTGTGACTGAAGTAGAATAACGTCAAAATGTCGGTTTGCTGCAACGGCTCTGTAACGTAAACAAGACCCCTGCAAAACAGGGGTGATGTCATTGTGTTGAAGCTGTGGACGTGCTGTACCAGACTCTGCTGCTCCTGACAAAACTGCAGAAAAATATAGGGTTTTTTTTTGGCAGTCTCACTCCTCGAAACTTCGAATTTGGTTTTTGCAATGCATAAATAACTGGAAGCTGTTTTTGTCTTATTTTGTGTTTCATATAACCAGTGCAGAGAGGATTAGTTGACTATTTGGATAGTCAAATGACTAATCTCCAACTAAATCTGATTTTATAAATCATCTTTTTGTGTCATTTAGCAAGCAAAACAGCCAAACAGATGTTGGTTGTTAGTATTGTTTTGAGTACATTATTAAAGATTAATCGGAAAAGCGATCTTACAGCTGCAGCCCTACATATAATTATTTAAGTAGTTGATTCATAATTATCATGACTTTTTTTTAAAACAGAATTAAGATAAATAAAAAATCAAATTCTGTGGTGCCAGCCTCTCAAGTGTGAATATTTGTAGAAATCTATAGTAAACGGAGTATATGTGGGTTTTGGACGGTTGGAAGTCAAATGGGTGTTTTTTTTACTCTACTTTTACAATTGAGAAAGTAATTGGCTTGTGAATAGATGATGATCGGTTAGTCGCAGCCCCAATTAAAATTTTCAAGATAAGGATGAATAATTTAAAAGGAAAATTATCATTAGATTTAGCCCCTGTAATGAAATCATGTGCGGGCATTAGTCTGGAAAGGAATATTAAATGATCCCTCCACAGCTTTGGTGAGTAAACTAGCCCAGTCTGGTTTTAATAATATACTGTTTGTCCTCTCCAGGATTCCATCAAGCACAACGACCAACAACAGTAAAATGGCAGCTATTCCAGCAGGCGGTTCTCTTGTGGCGACCACTGACTACTACCGAAGTGAGTCCTTCTCCTTTTCAGTCCTTCACACCAGAACACATGGCCAGACTGACTCCTCCCTCCTGTTGGGTGACTTAGAGTATACTCCCATTAAGTGCCTAAACCTTACGTGTAAAGAGTCACTGTAGCGTCATTGTCCTTCAGTTGCCCTGAATAAAAGATGACTTGAACGTCTAGGCTTTGCTCAGGGTGAAAGGATGTTTAACGCAGATTGTTTTAGTGACCGACACATTGTTTGTTTTGTATGTGGTTTTTTAAGGAACGTACGCTCTCTTCGAGATTAAAACTGAATTTCCTGTGTATCACACACATTATAAGTGGGGGGGGAGATTATTAGTCACATTAATAGTAGCTGTAGGTGACGCAATTGCCTTGTAAATGATGAAATAGGAAACCCTAATGTTGACTCATGTCAGGTCAGAGTCTGAAGTGTACAGACTGACTCGCTTTAAGAGTTCAGGGGTGGGGGAAGTACCTTTTCCTCAGGACCACACCCTTTCTGTGTTTCCTCTTTCTGTTTGTTCTTGTACCCAAGATAACTTTGGCTTCAGAAGAGAGTAGATTCAAATCTTCTCCCCACTGCCCCTCTCATTGTAAATATATTGGTTAAATATTACGCAAGAGCATTAAGATCTCCTTTTGGTTCAAAGAATTCCCCTTCAGTGTAATCCCTACAAAATGAAGCTGGATCTTCCCCCGCTACATTTCACCTTTTCAGTTTGCTTGGCTGCGCATGAATAAACCACCCGCTTCTACAACTCTTCTTCACATCCTTTCTTCCTGCAGGGCGCATCGGCTCAACGTCCAGCAGCAGCTCTTGTGGCAGTTCGGAGTACAGCGGAGAGGTCATCCCTCACCATCCAGGTGTGTGTTTGGATCCATATAAAAAGCAAAGCAATTATTGGTTTACATTTTTCTGCACAATTAAATGCCTTTCAGTGTGGAAAAGCTTCTGAAACTGAATTTAGACTTTTGTGGGAAGTTAAAACTCAGTCCTTCAAACCTATGTTAATGAAAGTCTAAAGGGGAGGTTTATTTATATATTTTAAAAAAAGGGTTGCTGTTAATGCATTTATTAACATGGGTGCTTATTGGTTAAACATTCACACTGTGCTCCAAATTAAACTAAAAACCAAAGCTGCTGCCAGAGGATCTCTGAGACGGATCACGGGTTTGAGAAGCAGGAGATCCAGGTGTTTCTGTCTGTCACGATGCATATTCATGGTTTTTAGGTGGTTTCTTTGACCCACATCCTGTGTGCCGTTTGAGCAGCAATTACAAAAGATGGTGGTATTGCTTAATCCTCGTCACACCAGTGACGTTGCTGAACGAGCTTCCCTTTCGCTAACCTCAGGATTGCAGTGGTTGAGTCAGCTGTTGCCTCAGACCACACCGTGGGTCCAGTTGAGTCAGTCTTGAACGCACCCAGTTCAGGTTGTTTCTGGTCTGATCTGGCTCATTCTAGTCAGTCAGAAAAGCAGTTTTCAGTCGTGTGTTTGCACGTTACACTCAGGATTAAGGGATTTCTTTAGCCTGCAACTCTCACTCAGTTCTGTAGTGAGGATTTAGATGTGAGTATTAACATAAAAAAGCATCCTGGCTCTCATACGTTCAGCCCCTAGTGCACCAGTTGAACCGTCAGCACCAGTTAATATCTACTGACTTTTCTTAATGCAGCTTAAAAAAAAACACTTCTGGGCTGACTGCCTCCAGGTTTGTTCTGGCATGCCTGTCTTGAACTGCTTATTAATGGTTTCAGGGTGTTTTTAAATCTTCACATAGCCACACACAAGCACATATAGTCATGTTTTCATCACCTTCAGGGACCTTTCACTGACTGTGTCAAGTGATCTATGTCCCCACAACATTAGTAATTCCTGCACAAACACACACACAGAGTACTGTGCATGAAAGTAGGTCATATTGGAAACATGGTTGTGTGCCAACCTGCACAGCAGTGCACATGCCTTTATAATTAGTGTTTATAATGTTAGTTTTACAAAATTCATTTTGCTTGAAAATGGGACTCTTAATCTCGATTAAAAACACACACGTCCCTAACTCAAGCTTAATTTGAGAAATAGCTTGACCTAGAAGCTTATTATGGCACACAGCAGTTGTACTGTAATTATAGCCATCTGTGTGTTAAGGCAGCTGTTCAGACACTAACTGAGGTGTCAGATTTAGTTTGACAAGAAGCCAAACACGCGACGTCCTGAGCGGGGGGAAACCCAGAGTCACTTCTCCCTCAGGGTGTAGCTTTTTAAAACATGCATTCAACCCTAACACACACTCTACGTTCTAACACCGCTCAACTTCAGTGACTACAGCTGCTGGTACTTTTCCTCAGTTCACAATGAAGAGCAAAGTAGCTTTATTCTGCGGAGGAATGTTAAATCTGTCATCCACCTGGAGCAGTTACAGCTTGCAGACTACACAAACTCCACAGATGGAAATCTAAATGAACTGGACAGTAGGTGCTGTGTTAGCTTTATACATTTGAAGGCTTATGCCTTCATTTTCTGCCTCTGCAGGACTCCCCAAGCAGGACTCTGGCCATTGGTGGTCCAGTTTCTTCTTTGGGAAGCAGCCAGGGATGACTCCACTGACAGAGGAGGCACAGCAGAAGTAAGTGCGCACGCACACACACACAGCTGAGTCATCCACCAAAAACTGCAGAGTGCAGGCTAGCTTTGGGTTTAGCATGGATTTATAACAGGATGTATGATACAAAGATGGCAGCCCCAAAAAAAATTAACATCTGGGGTTGCTTCCACATTGTGCAGCCCACTTTACAATGTACATTAATGTTTCTCCCACTGGCCACGTCCGGTCCAGCCTGGCCCAGTAATTTTAAATTGCATTGACATTGCACAAATTAAAAACTTGCTTTTCAAGGTGTCAAGCTCCCCAAGAATTATAAATTCACAATACGAACAATAATTGACCTTTTTTTGAAGTTTGTCCTGTCTGTTGTTGTTGTTTATCAATAATGACTTTTCACAATCTCTCTGTGTGTCTCTCAGGGCGGGGGTCCAAGGTGCGGTGACTAATGGTCAGATCACCTGTGTTGCCAGGGAGATGGTGTTGCAACACCAGGTGAGTGAGAGCAGCGACGCAGGAAGTCCCACCTCCTCCTGATCCCGCAGTCTCACACTAAACCACGCCGCACTTCGGAGGGGGGATATCAAACCAGCGACCAACGCTAGGTGACGGGACGATGTCCCGTTTACGACCTTTTTTTTTTTTTTTAATATATTACTCATCGTAGTACAGGCTGCCTTACTTGTTTGTTTTTGGTAACTTTGTTTTTTGACAACCAAGAAAAAAATTCAAAAACAAACAACAAGACAGTGATGCAACCGATAAGCTCTTTTGTTTTGTTTTTTAAACATTTGTACTGTTCCGTGTTTGTCATACTGTGGTGCACTGACACCTACATGACTTTTTGTTAAACATTTTTCACTTTTGTCACCCTGTGATTGCAAATGCAATAAAGTAGACTCTTGCAGCCTAATGTTCTGTGTTGGATTCATGTCTTTGTTCTTTACTTGCACTACAACCATAGACAGATTTGTTTTTAACATTATAATGGAAGTTTGAATTTTATATTTGTCCCAGTACACACAGAGCTTTCTCTGTGCTTTTAAGAACATGATTTTAACTCTTGTTTATAATAAATCTTTGCTAAGTGTTTTGTCCATAGCTCTTGGTTGAAACAGCCATATAAGGACCAGAAGTGTTTGCCAGGGAGTAGTTCAGTGGTTACATACAGGGCTGTTCCAAGAACAGAGTAAACACTGAAAGAGCAGCACTTCATGCCCTCCAACTGCTGCTGGAGTTGCCAAGTGGCTCAGAGTCCAAAAACATCTGGAAACTTGGGTCCAGGTCTCAACATTCCTGCACAAACTCCAGATTCAGGGACTGAATCTGACCTACATGTGTTTTTGCTTCCAAAATTAAAACCTCTCGCGCTATTAAGAGTTAAATATGTAGAGGACCTTTCATTCAGTTTACAAAATGCAGGTTGATGGTGTAGGGATCAGACTACTTGCTTGCAGTGCCTTTTTAAGAAAATAAAGAAAATGTCTTCAGGTCTACATTTAAAACTTTCAAGTTATCTGGGAGATATGGCAACCAACACTTATGTATAAAATAACCACCAACAATGCTATAAAAGCTTATCACACTTGTCTGCATCTGATTTTGTTGGGTTTTTTCCCCCCAGTCCTGATGGACTCTTAAAGACGTCTCTGATTCAGTCTAATACCTTTCTGGATGCATTAAACGCGACAGAACTCGACGCTCCCACACTCACACGTGACATACTCGTCCTGCCCTGCAACATAAATCAAACGCACCTTTTTGCAATAAATGCGTGCGGGTTATTTAAAAGCCCGCCCTGTGTGTTTGTGTTTGTTGTGCATCTGCTGCAGATTGTAATTAGCTAATTTAATAGTTGTTGCACTTTGCATTTTTTTTAGTTACTGCTCCTGTTGCAACAAACTTACCTATCTGAGGAAACATGATGTCGCTTCAGTGCGGTTTTATTTTTTAGAGGAATACTCATGTTTGGGTCGCTTTTAGCTGCTGCTACTGAATGCAAGGTAGCTAATCCAGTCATCAAACTGGGGCAACAGTCCTCAGAGAGCACCTGGAGATGTTGATGACCACCACTGCTTCACCTCAGCAAGGTAGGGAGCTGCGTTTTGTGTCTTGGCTTTGGTTCAGTTTTGTTTGCCTGGGTCAGTGATAATTCATTATTCACATAAAAGAGTGTAGTCTTTTTTTCTGTCAGTCTGTGGCCTTGACATTCTTGCTGTCACAGGTACGCAAAACACTTTGATAACACACAACGATGTCTATTGTTCAGTGCAACAAAGTCCTTGTTTTTATTGTTGGACACCGGTAGATTACACTACATTGTTTCCAGGATGTGGTTTGATGCAGATATGTTACTCCGTTGTTTTCTGAATGAAACAAAGTTGATCAAATGGATGAAATAAATAGCTAACTTTCCTGCAGAAATTGCCTGTGAATGCTCAAAGCTGAACTGTGGGAGCAGTACAAACAGTAGTAGTAGTAGTAGTAGTAGTAGAAGTAGTACTGTAGTTGTTGTAGTAGCAGTAAAGACAGTAGTGGTTAGTAGTAGTAAAACATTGTTGTAGTAGTAGTAGCAGTAGTGGTGATTGCATTAGTAATAATGATGGAAGTAATAGTAGCCTCTGTCCTCTGCAACAATACTACTACCAAATGCAAAATGTTGAATTTAAATGCACTTTGCAGCACTGGGCTTGTGTCTAATGCAGTTTTTTGGGGGGGGAAGGTTATTGCTGTGTTGTCACTCCACAATGTCTGTATGAGCTTTCGTGTATGCTTGCCGTCTTCAACATCAATTATTAAGTCTGTGTATATTCTGCGTTCACATGGATAAATCTGCTCCCCGGGAGTTGGATAATTGACAGTTTCTTGACACAACTCTTTGATTTTTTTCTGTCTTGTCACACTAATTTTGATGTTTTCACATATCAAAGAGCTGATTGCTGCAGTTTTAATAGCTGACTGTGCTGCTAAAGGGCATTCAGACTTAACAAGAGTCACCTCGGAAGCAGTGTTGTGATTACTAGTCGCTGTCCTTTTTCAGCTTAACCTTTTATTTTATTATATTAATTACATAAATTGCATCATGATTCAGCTATACAGATTTTAAGTTAAATAAATATCAGTTTTTAGATATTGATTTCCAAATCAAGCCTATTTATTAAGATTATATCTTTTAATTGTTTTATGTGATTAGCTGTTTTTGTGTGTGTGCCTGTTGATCTAGGAGGTGAGCTGCTGTATCCAAAATAAAACTGGATTTAAACACTCCATATGTAAAATAAACTCTCAATCCTTTTAAATTTCTGACCAAATTTATATCTGAATCCTACTAGGCATAGAGTCCCATTTCCCACCTGCTCCATGCACACAGTTGGGGTGATGACAATGTAGAAAGCATATGCCCACTAAAATTTTTCAGCCTTTTGTGGTCCCCCAAAATTACAGTTCCACAAACTCCCTTTATCTTTTGACTTAGACACGTTATCCTGACATGCGGAGAAAAATCTCCCTGCTGACTGTAGCCGTGCAACACAAATCCTGACGCAAGGATTTTCCTATTTGTAAAATGGGGTTTGTGTAAGCACCGCTGTCCCCTATTCAACCTCTCAGTGCCTCTGTCTCTATGAAACAGAGGAAAGACAAACAATGGGAGCGATGCTGCTGAAAAATGGCCCCCTCTGCATGACAGTGTTGAAAGGTTGAAAGGAGGATTTGTTCTGTGGCTCATTTGAAGAGCCGAGCGGCCGGCTGTCCTCCCACGTTGCAGTTTTTCCAGGTCGCCGGGTTCTGGGAGGGTGAAGTGATTTTTCTGTCCTCTATCTGGATCTGTCACTTGTTGTCCGACTCCCCTCCCTCTCCTCGTCCGGGTTCATACAATCTGTTCTTCTTTTGGCTCCTTGGATTAGGGATGTCACAATACCAGAAATTTAGTGGTCGATACCAGTTTAAGTCCACGATTCTCGATACCACATTTAAAAAAACAAACAACAAAATAATAAATCCCATGTGCTTCAACATACACTACTTTTAATAAATTATCAGGTAGAGCACAATAACTGGAAAAAAAACAAGAACACAAAAAAACAGCAGAGGCCACACACCCACCTCTGTTTAGAGTGCAAGCAGGAATTCAAATTTACTGACATGGTGACAGACCATTAGTCCGGAAGTATTTCATTAAACAACACAACATGACACTAGACTGAACGGTAAGGACGGCAGCCTGTTAACATTACTTTAGCTTAAACACAGGCAGCATTTAATGATTAGCCATTGCAAACAGTTTGCTATGTTACACAGCAATGCCGGCTGTCTCAAACAATTTATTGGTATCGACTTGGTACCAGTGTATCAGTACCCTTGACATATGGTTGAAATCAGTATTATGAGGCTGCGTCGTCTTCTATAAATCTGTTTCTTTTGATTAATTAATTATTTTTCATTCTATGAAATGGTTCAGTCCAAGGTGATGTCTTGAAATTGTGTTTTTCAACGCAAAACCAAAGGTGTTCGTATTACAGACACGTAAAACTAGCAAGCAAATCCTCAAATTCAGAAGAATGGTTTGATATTTTTGCTTGATAAATGATTCACCATTCATCAATGAATTTACTAACAGTTCTGTCTTGAATTTGTGATGTTTAGATTAGGGCTGAACGATATTGAAAAAATATATATTCATAATTATTTTGATTTCAAGTTTTACACCATGATTCTCATTGAAAAACATTTAAATATTTATGGTGGGATTTTTGAGGGGATTAGTACCAAACAAAGATGTTTTCTTAAGTCTGTATAATGTAATGTGTAGTCTAGGACATCTCTGCGGCACGACAGTATATACTTCAAAATATTTTTACACACTTTTCAACCTTTAACAAATATTGCGCCTCATGCGATTTGAACAATTGCAGTGGACCATATTGTAATTTTAATATAATTTTGATTAATTGTCCAGCCAAGATTAGATTCAGAGGTGGTTTAAATCTGATGTGGATTTGAGGTTTTGGGACATTTTGTGTGGCTATTATCAATATCTTTATTAATCACATGACTATTTGTATGTGAATCACCTGACCATGCAGTTCCTCTCTGCTGAGTGGAGCTTTAAAGCATCTATCAGCTCACTTTCTGTGGTTTTACTGTGCGTTTTTCACTCTGAAAACAGAGCCAGATATTTCCCTTAAAGTGGTGGAGACCAAAACAGAGCTGAAAGAAATAAAGCAGAAACAATCATTTTTATCAATTCATCTGTCAAATATTTTCTCAATTAATTGTTTGGTCTATAAAACATCATAAAACAGTGAAAAATGCCCATCACAATTTCTTGGAGGCCAACGTGACATCTTAAAATGTCTTGTGTTGTTTGACCTACAGACCAGAGTCCCCCAATTCACTATAATGTAAGGACCAAAACAAACTACAAATTATCCCATTTGAGAACTTGGAACTAGGGCTGGGCAATATATCGCAATGAAAAAATGAAAAGGTATCTATAGATAATTATTCTGATAAATTTCAAATCATTATTTCTTTCGAGTTTAAAGGCTATCCAACGAAGGTTAAAGTCAAGGGCAACTGGACTTGGTTGAAGATACTGGAAGACGTTTCGTCCCTCATCCAAAGGACTTCTTCTTGAATTGTGGTTAAACTATTCTTTATTGTCAGAACATGACAAACTCGCTCACTATGCTGGATAATTTCACCAATCTGAGATAGAACATACAAAACTATTATATTGATATTTTTTTCAACAACTATGCATGAGTAAAATAAGTGAAATCTTCTTTAGTCCTTTTTCCTCAACATATTAATAAATAAATAATCTTAATAGAAAAATTAAGTGCTGATTTGTTCTGTTGTATTGAGGAAAATTATATCACAATAATTATATTTTATTGCCCAGCCCTAATT